ATATATATATATATATATATATATATATATATATATATATATATATATATATATATATATATGACTTTCATTCCGTTTCTTTAAGCTTTACCCAGCACAGACATCTACATCTAGATTACAAATGATAAATCTCAACCTCATCATTGTAAAGTAAGATTCATAACATTTACAGCTGGGGTAGTGGTCATAAAAACAACTTTTTCCTGCTTCCAAAATGCTGAAAAATGATGCATTTTCTATGCAGCTTCTTTCCTTCTCAGAGCTTCTGAGCTGCTCCCTTACACCCTCCTTATCTCCATTGTCTGTTCCACCTTAGGCTTGTTACGAGAATTGCTAAGGTCTGTGTGAACCATGTGTCGTTGCATTAATTCCATATGAGAGGGAACAGGGTTCTGCAAATTCTGAGAAAAAGGCAGGAACAGCAGCCCTTTCTCTATGTCTTCTATAGTTCTGCCAACAAAAAAAACAAACCCGTTTTCTCTGTATCTGGATCACATCAGGTGCCTGGAGCTCAAATTTCAGAATATCTACATGTTTTCAAGGAGACATATTATAGTGTCACTATAAATAATATCAATAACAATAGCTATAGTTCAATGAACATCTATCATGGGCTCAGCATTGTACTAGCTACTCCTCAAAAGTCAACTTACATAATACCCACAAAGCAGATATTATTACCTCCTTTCTTACAGATGAGGAAACTGAAGGTCAAAAAAGTTAAGCAAGGTGTCGAAGTTACAAAGTCAATAAGTGTCAGTATTTAACCAGGTTGGTGGGTCGTGATCTTCCTACTGACTAATTGGACTCAATTTGGAAGATTGAGGAACTTAGGAAAGGAGAAAGTACGTTCTCCTATCTCTTGAATAAGAGAAATGGAACACAGCGCAGGCAGTAAAATGTGGGCACATTACCAAGCAAGAGAAGCAGTTCTAGCTTCCTTAAAGATACTGGTATGAATCATGTTGGTCTTTTGCAAACCACATTCCCTGAGGCTGTGCCAATATGATCTGACTATGCCCAAATCAGGGCTCCTTCCTGTGCCCAAAATGACATGAGTGTGCATGTTTTCTTCTCACTATGCCATGCTCTATTTTTTAATGCCTCGTTTATTACATAAATCCCAACTTTTACACTCAAAGTAACACATGGGATGCATTGCTGGCTCATCACAGCACATGAACATTAAAATGAAATTAAATCCATACAACTCATTGTGTTGAAATTTCTGCTTAAAAGACAAAAAAAAAAGGGGGAAGAAAGAGAAGAATTATGAAAACAGTATTTTTTTTTAAGCTTGAAATCCTTTAGGGACACTTAAATGAATGGGAAAAATTGCTGTTTATTTTATCACATAGTTATAGTGTCTGCATCATTCCAAATCAAAATATGAGGTAAGCCTATAAAACAATGAGACTTTAAAAACAAACACACACCAAACCTTTTATATCTAAGAGAACATTATCTTAGAGTTGTTTCATGCTTGCAATAAAGATGCTGTCAGTGTTTAAAATGCACTTTTTGGAATGCCTTCAGAGGGAGTTCAGAAACCACGTAAGAAAACTGAATTTGGTACTTCATAATTAGTCCGTTTTAACCAAAAATAATTGCTACTCTTCTTCATATCAGACATGATTCTGAATGACTTTGGCTATACTTGGTTAAATTTTATAATCTACTCCAAGGGAGGTTATGCTGTCACTATTGAGGATATTCTGAAGAATATCTCATAGATTTTGAAGGAAATTTCAACTAGAAGTTCTAAACACACTGAACAAAACATGCGAAGACTCTTCAAAGAGAACCACTTATTCTAAGTACAGTAATACCTTTGTTTGTGAGTAACATGTTTTGCGAGTGTTCTGCAAGATGAACAAACATTTATAATACATTTTAACATGGTAAACAAGCGATGTCTTTCAATACAAGTAGTTTGTTTCTGGAACAAATTGTGCTTGCAAACCAAGGCATTACTGTGTTAGAAATGTTTGCTCGTCTTGTGGAACACTTGCAAACCAAGTCACTCGCAATCCATACTGTAATGATGTCCAGCTGGATGACTTAAACTCAAGCAAGCTTTTTTTTAAAAAAAAAATTTGTAACTTTGCTATTATTTTATAATTACCCACTTAGTAACCAACTTGCAAAAGCAATCAAATATCATTCTGGGCAGGTGCTGAGAATCCCTCTCCAGGGAAATGCTCCATATTGATAATGCTCTTCCTCCTGACACCCTATGAGGCAAAGATAGATCTGAGGATTCCAGTTTGCTGAGGTTTCTTTTGATTGAGGTCTTTGCCTCCATCCTGACTCATTTTTTGAAGGCTGCTGAGTGCCCGGGTGCTGAAAATGAAAAGTTAACTCGGGCAAAGGGCACATGTTTCCTCACTCATTGGACATTTAGTGTGCTCAGTATAATCTTATTTTAATGGTTTCCAAGTTTATTTCAACGTGCTCTCCGGAAAGGCGCATCTTTTATACAATACAATTTAGTCAGGCGATGAAGATATGCACACAAGACATCAGAGGTCGAATGGATGATAATTTTAACAAGGTGAGCGATTGTGGTAGTTTATTCCCAGCTGGATTCCTACAAAGGAAAAGTCTCAGACTTAGAAGGAATGGGACACTGCTTTGCCTGATCATTGTGAGTGCTTCTGTATATTTTCTCCACACTGTCCCAAATTCTTTCCATGCTTAAATACACTTTCTCATTCATACTTCCTCATTCCTTGTATTTCTGCTCAATTTTTTAGTTCCAAATTGTCCTTCACAGAGGTTTGCCTAATTTTATTGGTTTTTCCAAAGAATCAGGTTTTGTACTCATTTATCAATTCTAGAAGTTTATACTTAATCAATTCTCTATCTCTATTAATTTCTTCCTTTTGCTTTCCTTATACTTCCCTTGTGGTTTTCTAGCTTCTTGAGTTAAATATTTATTTTATTTTCATGCTTTTCTGCTCAATAAGAGCTTAAATCACCAATTTTATTCTGAGTAGTTTTTTTGTCCACATCATTTAAATTAGGATAATTTAATTCCTCCTCATCAATATTTCTTAAGAGTTTGCCATTTTGATTTCCTTTTAGAACTAGTAATTATTTGGGAGACTTGTTTAAACAATTTCAAACGGTTTGAATTTTCTGTTTACCCTTTCATTATAAATTTCTAATTATATTTCATAATAGCTCAGTATAATTTCTTTATACTGAAGTATAAAGTCTTTAGTTTATTGACAGCCTCCTTATGGTCTGGTTGTTTTAGTTGGCTTGGGCTACTGTAACAAAAATACCATAGACTGGGTAGCTTATAAACAACAAAAATGTATTTCTCATAGCTCTGGAGCCTGGAAGTCTGAGGCCAGGGTGTCAGCATGGTCAGGTTTTAGTGAGGGCTTTCTTCTGGGTTGTAAACTGCCATCTTCTCATTGTAGCCCCATGGCAGGGAGCAGAGAAGGGGAGCCAGCTCTCTTGTGACTCTTATAAGTGTAATAATCCCATTCATGAGGGCACAACCCTCATGACATCATCTAATCCTAATCACCTACCAAATATCTCACTTCCATATGCCATTAAATACGGGAGGGGAGGGTTTCAACACATGAATTTTGGGGAAGCACCAACACTCAGTCTATAGCACAGGTATTTGACCAATCTTCATAAATGATAATAATAGACCCTTACATAGTGATAGGCAGTATTCTAATTGCTTTATATGCATTCACTCATGAAATCCTTACAATAATTATATTTTATAGATGAGGAAACTGAAGCAACAAGCATTTGCCCAAGTGATTTTCTCCAAGTTGTACAGCTAATACATTACAGAACTGATATATAAACCTTGGGTTTGGCTGCCAAGTCCATGATTTTATCATAAGATGATAAATGTTCCAAAAACATTTGAAAAAAATAAGATTTTCCCCTCCATATGGCATTTTAATATTTTGGAAAGGTTTTTATTCTAAACACTTTAGCCACTATCTATTATAAACCTCTTTGCAGTGGAATGACTCTGCTTGAGGAGATAGCCATATGATTGAATTAACAGATTAAAAAAAAAAATCTCTCAATGCTGTTAATTACATTTTTCTCATCCCCCAAATGTGATTTCTAGGCAATCACAGAAAACTACCTGAGTTGTTTATAAATAAAGGTGATGGTTTGCATCAGACCATCTGGGCATCAGAAAAGTCAGGAAGCAGAGGGTACCTGAAAGCGGAAGGAGTCACTCTGGGCTGGGACTCCTGAGTGCCTGTACCACACGATGCCTTCATTGATGTCTTGCTGGGTGAAGGTGCTGGTGGGGGTTGCTGTCCTCCCATCAGGCAGGTGTTGTCCTTCATCAGTAGGGCTGTCTGCAGGCATATTAACCAGAAGGACCACCTCCCCTACGAAAGCCACATGGTTAGTGAGGATCCCTGGGAAAAGTAAAATTAAGTCAGCTCTCATCTCCTTTTCTACCACTTTTTTTTTTAACAGAAAAGAAATGAGGTACTTCTTTACTCTTATCTAAGGTGAAGGAAAGAACATTAACACAGAATTCAACAGATATTATCGGATCCACTACTAGATATAAAATTCCTAGTCCTTCAGCTAAAAGAACTAAAAGTCATTCAAAGACAACTCATGCATAAAGTTACTGACTTGTATCTATTAAAATTACATAAGTCATGAACACTGCAAACAAATCCTCAAATACTGAGCTTTGAATGAATATGCATTTCTACCCTTTCTGTGAACATAAAATGCTTTCTAACCAGAAAGTGTTTGGTGTAAACACAATGGAAAATTAGAAAAAATTCAGAGAAAGTTATCCTTGGGAGAATTCTGTACAACGAAAATAATAATAGCTAGGGGCCAACCGACTGGCTCAGTTGGTTAGAGCACGAGCTCTGAGCAACAGGGTAGCTGGTTTGATTCCCACATGGGCCAGTGAGCTGAATCCGAGCTGAGCTGCTGCTGAGCTGCCAACAGGTGGCAGGATGGCTCAGCTGGTGAGAGTACATGCTCTTAACAAGTTGCCGGTTAGACTCCCACATGGGATGGTGGGCTGGGCTCCCCGTCCCCACTTCCGCAACTAAGATTGAACATGGCACTTTGAGCTGAGCAGCCGCAAGATGCCAATGGGTGGCCAGATGGCTCAGTGTGCAACAAGGTTACTGGTTTGATACTCTCATGGGATGGTGGGCTGCGCACCCCTACAACTAAGACTGAAAGTGGTGACTGGGCTTGGAGCTGAGCTGCGCCCACCATAACTAAGATTGAAAGATAACAACTTGACTTGGAGCTGATGGGTCTTGGAAAAACACAATGTTCCCCTTCCCTAATTCCCCAACACTGTTCCCCTCCCCAATTTCCCAATAAAAATCTTAAAAACAAACAAACAAAAGAATAATAATAGCTAACACTGGAAAGTTTATGGCTGGCATGGCATGAAGCACTTTATGTGGTGGTTTAAACTCAGCTTCACCTCAACCAGTTGTGTGAGCTCACTTATTTATACTCCATAAACCTTTGTTTTTCACTGGTAAATGAGAATAATAGTCCACACTTCATAGGTGTAAAAAAAGAATGTTGGCTATCCTTATTGTTATGTTATTTAATCCTCTGAAGATGCTATTCTCATCTCCATTTTAAAGACAAAGCTCTTTAGGCTCAGAGCAGTTCAATAACTTGTTGAAGGTCACACAAATGATCAGTGGAGGAGCTGGGATTTGAATTCGAAGCTCATATTCTTGGTCATAAAACTCTGTTAGCAATCATGATTGTTTTGTGTTCACAGGCCAATATTTACCCCGATAAATAACTGATCGTGTTTTCTAGCCTTTCATTCTCTAAGCTTTATTAGAATTGAAGCAAGGAAATCTAAATCTAAACAACACTGCCACCAACACCAATCTGTTCCTATTGCTTATTCTTCACCTGAAGCTACTATATTTTTAAAGTGAGATTGCAAATACAGAGGTGTTATAGAAACAATTAAAATTTCACAAGGAGAATACACATATGCCTTCAAGTGAAGACCAAACAGGACAATGGATAAACTGCTGAAAACAGAAACTTTGTTCTGGTGAAAATGCATCTAACAATAAATATGAAAGAAGCTTCTCTACCCGTGTGTGTGTGTGTGTNTGGCCATCCAAAGGCTGGTGACCGATCTCCCCTGGGAAGAGCACAATGATCACAATACCAACATGGGCCAGTGAAGCAACATCCTCCACAACTAGACTGAAGAACAAAAGGACAGCAACTTGTTTGTTCACCTTCCCTGATTCCCCAATGCTGTTCCCCTCCCACAATTCCCCAATAAAATCTTTAAAAACAACAACAACATAAAACAACTTTCAATGGGATAATTCTACTTACCTCTCTGGATTCAGCATAAACATCACCTTCTCCAGGAAAGTTTTATAATAGAAAGGAAACTTCTAATAGGGCTTCTAAAAAATGGAATAACAGTTTCTCCAGCTAGGTGGAGCTATCACTGGCTAAATAATCATACCCAAATGGTACTGATTAAACAGACATAAGCCTGAAATTCCTTCCAACCACTCAAGAAGAAGCCCTGTGACTGTTTGCGATGCTGTGTAAAGGACAGCAGTAATGGGTGAGAGATCGAAGTGGATTCCATGTAACTTTCCTTTCACTCTGGAAATTGCAAGCTTCTTTATTAAGTCAACAATAAATGTGTTTACAGCGCTGGTATTGTCTGCTTTCTGGGTAGGGCATTCACCAGATACAAAAACAGGGCACTCCATCAAATCCTGTCAGCGTGCCTCCCCCAAGCGGAAACCATGAGCCCTCCCATCCCACTCACAGTCATATGGAGAGATGCTCCCTGAGAGAGCTGAGACGCTTCAGGCGTCTGTGGTAAGATCGCGATGTTGAACAGCTGGCTGTCCAGGTGGGTGTGGACATCTGTGGCACTAGACACCTGGAAAGAAATGTCATACCAGTGAGCCTCTGTTGGGCAGAGCATGTCTGCATGTGTTTATTTTCCCTCCTTTAAACCATCTATCTTTGAATTCTATCTGCTCCTGCATTACAATTTTCATTCTGCTGCTTGTACTTTAATATTAATTTTTACTGATTATAAAAAGTGTACATAGTCATTTTAAGCAATCTTGAAAATGCTGTAAAATAAACATAAGAAATAAAAAATCATCGAGAATTTCACTACCTGGAAATTAGTTAACATATTGATGCATTTTAATTTAATCATTTTTCCTATGCATGCATGTCAAACTTTATATACAATTGTGTATTCTAAATTTTTTACTGACCATAATACTATGGTATTTTGCTAAACATTCTTGAAAACATTAATTTTTGATAGCTACATAATGTCTCATTATGAGCATATATAACACACATATATATATACATA